GGGCGTGGAGGGTCCGCGCCCAAGGACGTGTGTTGAAACGTGTGGACCACTCCGGACTAAAAGGGCCCAAATAGGCTCAATAGACCAAAACCTCCAGAGTTTCCTCCTACGGGTCTGTTTGTACCTCCCTCCGGACACCCAGAGCTTCAAGTGCCCCGTTAGTTCCACGATGTTCCACGCCTGTGCTGCTCACAGCAAAGGGCAGACTCATTGGAACATTGAGGTTGTGCGGAAAAAGGGAACATAAAGGAACATCTGCTTCAATGCTCATGGTCAGTGACATTTCTTTCACCGTGAAGAAATTCAAGCCACCACAAAGGAATTGAGCAACAAAGGGGTCTGACACCTTCGCTTGAAGCTTACTCACCACGCCGTCAGTCTTCTCTTCCTCGCAAACCTCCTTCATCTTCTCCAACAGCTCGACAGCTTTCTCATTGTCTTTGTGCTGCTTCAATTCCTCGCACTTCTCCTGGCAGTATCATATTCCACCTGCATCGCCTTCATATTTCACCTTGTGTGTGTGTGTGCCGATAACGCTTTGTGTTTGATTGTCGCACTTCCACATAATCTTTTCTCTTGGCAAACTCGTCCGTTGTGCACCCATAGCTCCGGATGCCCCTTCATGCCCCTTCACCATCACCATCCTCTATTTCGTGCTCGGCTCGGACTCCTTGGTCATGTTGGCGACATAGAAGGTCAGCTCCGAGATTCCCGCCGCCTCATCCACATCCTCCGGGCCAAAGGCTTCTCTCAGCCGCCTCAGCATCCGCCGGCTGCGCTGGAAGCCATCCTTCTCCAAGACAGAGAGCCTCAGAAAGTTGCAAAGGCACATACCAAACGGCTCTAGCAGCTCTAGCAGTCTTGATCCCAAGGAAAAGATATAGTAACAAGTGCCTTACTAGTAGTAACAAGAAGCTAGTAGAAACTATGACTCTCCAAGTCACGATGACACTTCATCATACGGCGAACGCGCTGGCCGCACAGCACTGGCGGGAAGCCATGCAGCGCAAAGAGCCAGACAGCACCGGTACATCAGCGACAGCCAGATGGTGAACCGATTTCGCAGACCTTTTCTGGATCCCACGAGACCCTCCGAGACCGTCGCATCAAGCTCCGATCTGAAAACAACGACCAAGATCTTTAGATAGAAGGTATGACATGGTATGACCAGGTATAAGCTTCATATCACCACGAAAGACATTGTTTCCAAATTTGGTCCCTTCCTTCGGTTCTGACAAGGGCAAGCATTGTTCAGTCTCGGGATGTCTCGGGACCCAAAGACCCCAGCTTCACCGCTGGAACTAAGAGCCACATGCAGCGTCATCAAGCAAATGTTTGCTGGTTTGGTCCGGTGATGCATTACCCTGAGTTGATATCAATAATTATATTGATAACACATTGAATCATATTGATACCTAATCAATCCTAATCATTAGAAGCCTCAGTGAGGAAAGCCAGGGAGAGCTTATGGGGGCTGCGCTGATGTAATCCAAACTGTTTTGGGCAGGATGGACTGAAATTTTCAATTGGAGCTGGCACCGCTCTGGCGACACAGATTGGATAGTACCCCTATGCAAACTAGCTCAGACGAGGATAACAAGTAAATTATGTAAGTGGCTGTAAGCGACTATGTGCTGGTGCAACGATACTATGATAGTACCACTACTGATGGAAGCACTGGATTAACGAACCCATTTTGCTCTGCAATACTAACCGCGAGTAACCGCCTTTGATCTGATCTCCATCTTCCAGATCATTTAGGTCGCTATCGATCGGGGGAGGTCATGGGGTGATGGGGTTTCAGTACGCAATAAGTAGGCGCTGCTGTCCCTGGCCTCTTGCTCCAACTCTGAAGCCCTTCTTTCGCGAAAGATCACCAGCTCCTGCATTGACCCAAACATTGGGACCAAACCAGCCGAGAATATGCCAAATAGGTTGTACGGCAAGACGTCATGGGACCGATGTCGGGCTCGACATAAAAAGACAATGAAATCCAAATTGATCCAAATTGTTGATTGCTGTAATATGTATTATATCAAATATATATTATATTAAAGATTATATAGATTAATATATTGTGTCATTGCTCACTTTCAGCGCTTCATAGTGAGGAACGGGCTTCTACTCCAAAGCCTCCAAAGCTTGTGCAGGGCCGAGGTCTGCTGTTCAGTTCGATAACTCTAATAAAACCGCTACTAGTAAGGCCTTAGCTCTTTCGTACCACTTGCTAGTAGAGAGCTGGATGTGCAAACCTCAAGGCCAAATGAGGTCATGTGAAGCCGCTGACTTACGACTTGGTCTCCTGCCACTGTGCAAGCTGCTCCTGCAGTTCAGCAACCTCTGGAGCTCCAGCAAGCCTGGTCGAAACATGACGTCAGCTGCTGGTGTTTTTGCAATCAGAGCAGGATTCTCTCGTGACTCTTGAGTCTCTTGTATAACACAGATAGATCTGCGCACCCTGTTTGACAGCCTGTTTGAGTACTATGCTTTCCGGAGAGAATCCTCGAATCCTTCGACATGCAAAGTCAACGTCGGCACCTTTCAACACCTTGCTGGAGCTTCTTCCACATCTTACGCTGACGTCGCCTCGGGAGCGCGGCGACATCTTTAGCTTATATGTATATATATATATGTGTGTGTTGGACTCTGTTGCAGAAGTAGAGGATCCCATCAAGCCATCAAGCATGACAGTTTTGCTGCCGGTAGGGTGATCAAATTGTTTGTTTTAGAGTCTGAAGTCTAGCGTCTAGGGGTTGCTTTATCTAGGTTCTGAATAAGTGGCCTGCGGGTTTGCATTTCGGAGTTGTCTTTTTGTGCTCTGCGTTGAACTTCCAGGCATCGCTTCTCTTGCATCAGCTCCGACTCCTGCAAAGAAATATAGACTAATGTAGACCGAACATAAGTGTTTAAAGCCATGCGCTGCAAAACCATTAAGCCAAAGAGCCCTAGATAGACTGGCTTTGTTTGCTCAAAACATCTGAACACTTAAGACCAAGACCTGCCTTTTCTTGTTTGATAGAAATAGGGTGGGCATCTTGAAACAGGAAAGGACTAATTATATAAGTCAATATAAGTCAGGTGCCACCTGGATATACCTGGATCACCAAACTACCAGGGTTGCAAAAAGAAAGCAGGTTCTCATGCATGGGCATCCCATAACGGACTTTAAACACCCAACTAGTGCCCAGTGCTTCTTGCGGGAGCCTCGCAAGAGCTGGTAAAGAAATGTCATGCTTGCCGACATGCCGCAAGAAAGGACTCTCGCTCCGGAGGCTGATACTCTTGACACGGTTTTGTGAATGTACTTGTCGACTGGAAAATGAATGAAAATGATGATGTTTCAAAAAGCTCCACCCCGTTGCAAGGTTACGAACAAGTAAACTGCAAAGAACACTGGCCCGTTCAGCGAGTTGCCCTGTCCTGAACTTTCAGCTGCATCAACCTTGCACATTCAGAAAAGCACAAAAAGCGAAATCACTTGGTGCATCTTGGCCCTAGGAGCAAGGACGCTACTAGGGACTCCTGGCATCGCTACTACTAGGAGCAAGGACGCTACTAGGGGCTCCTGCAACATGACATCCCAGACTGCGTGGGTAAAGCAAATGTGACTCTGGCGGCGAGGAGCTTCTCATGCAGCTGGCTACATGCCATCCGCAGGTCTGATTCCTTGGTGGAAGACATGAGACAAACGCGTGCGTGAAAAACCTACCAGTATGACAGGACAAAAACAATGAGCGTTATATAAAACATTGAAAGGAAAACCAATCAATCGCTCAGTCAAGCAGTAAGACTCTGGGTCCAAGGCAGCCAGCCCGCAACTCACGCCTACAAGAACCTAGCTAAGGCTCGACCTCAAAAACAAAGACGAAGGACTGCGCCTCACTCGAAAGGTTGTTCAAGTGTTCAAGCATTATTCAAGCCGATTCAAGCCCTTCCCATGCTTGAAAACACACAAAGGATCACTCCCTGGCGAAGTCTCCCGACTTTCCCCATCCCTCATCTGAGCGTCTCGGATGATCAACCTCTCCAGCTCCAACTGCCGTTGGATTAAGAGGAGCTGCACCTTGGCGTTGCCCCGATGGCCTTGCGCTTCGTCCTCCTGAAGCGCAAACAGCAAAGGCACTTATTTAGGGGGTGGACCCCAAAAGCACACGCCCAGAAAACGGAGAAGAAAGGGGATTGCTTTGCTAAGGATGACCCTTTCAGGTGGGTGGGTATTGGAAGAAAATTGCTCGAGATGGGACACTGCCGAAACAAACTCAAACACATAGAGAAACTGGAAGAAGTATTTGTTATATTGTGTTACCATAAACGATATCATTAATCTCAAGCCAATAGTTGTAGAGGCCATCACAAACCACATTTTGAGGACGGCTGCAAAACCTCGCAAGGATCCCAACTCCTCCACAGCCAGCATCTTCTCCTTGAGCTCTAAAGCCTCCTGAACTATCGAAACAGCGAGGCAGAGAGGGGCAGAGAGGTATATAGCGAAAACGCGGCAACCGAGGTTCTGAAAACACGGCAAAGGGTCCGTACAACACGTCGATCATTCGGACCGTGGAGGTTGGTTTGACCGGCCTAGGAGGTATGGCGAAGCCTCTTTGGTTCACAGCCTCTCTTCTCACAAATACGGAAGACCCCAGCAGGCAGCTCCAAAATCTCGCACTGAAAACGTTTCTCGACACTGCTCTGGTGACTCCTGGCTCCCATCTGATTCCCATGCAAGATCGGGATTCGGAGTGGCCATGGCTTCAGACGAACTCAAACAGCTGCGCCAGTATGCTTCCGATTCACCTGTCACTGGAAGACACCTGATTTACGCCAATACCAAAAACTGAGGATCACGGCATTTGTGAGGCACCTTGCTACTAGTAGCTAGAAGCTACTAGCTCCTGGCATTACTACTAGGAACAAAAAGCCACTAGCAACAAGGGCATTAGTTTGAAAAATCCAGTGGCTCAACTCTGCCGTCCGCACCCTGTCTAGTCCGAATGAAGTGCCTGAGCTCTTCTGGAAGAGCTTTGGCACCTGAACGGCCAGGACGGATGTGTGAGAGACATGGAAGGGCTAGCTGCATTGGATTCAATATCATAATATAACCAATATATAACCAATACAAGTAGAATAGATAGAACCCCTACGGCAAGCGGTGTGCAACTGTCTCTGCGTTCGAGTGACGCTATGATGCACCAAAACCTACCCGTATAGTGGCTCACCTCCAAGAAGGTACCACGAAAAAGGATATCCAAAGCAACTGGGTAGAGTTGCCTCAACTGTATATCATGATCCTTGCATGCGCCAAGCGTCGTCTTGTGAGCGAAGCGAAGCAGCAACTCAAGACAATGCGCGTCGGGAATAAAGGCATCAGCAAAGCACACTGGCCGGTAGGCACGTTATGGCATATATGCCCAAATAATGCAAGAGTCTGATACACATTATCCGGTTAAAGAAGACCCTTGGCCCTTCTTGTGGAGAGTCTTTTGGAGAAATTCAATGTCATGAATCATGACTGGATGGGCACATGGTCTAATGTCCGAATGCCCATAGCAAACAATTACCCGTTAAATCCCGTTAGTTTGTTTGTGTGGGGCGTCAGAAGAAGGAGGAAAGGAAAGGAGGAGTGCTCAGAAAAAGAGGCCACACCAGGAGGGTTATCTAGCTGCTACAACTGCATTGGCATTCACGTTTCTCGAGCTTTGGCCAGGGCACTACGCTTGAAGCAAAGCCTGTTGTGAGGATTCTCGTCGCTGCACACCAGCGAACCTGCCATGATGTGGGCAACGGAAGGTGAGAAGCGATTACAAATTGATGTGTTGTTCTTGTTGCAGTAAGTATACCATGTTATGCGTCTGAAAGTGGTTGACTTAGGGGTGGGTCTGAAAAAGGACCAAACCCTTCCCCCAAAGGAAACAAAACCAAACTAAACTAACGTGCCAAAGAAACCAAAACCAAAGCCTCGTTGTCCGGTGTGGAACAAGCTGCGCCGGCAAGACTCACCCGGTCGGCCAAATGAAGACCTTGGAGGTTGACAACTTCTGAGATCCGCCACTGGTTGCGACTCAGTAGAATTGACATGCATTGACACAAATTGACTTTTGCTGATTGACCATATACCCCTTTAGAGTTTCACATTATCATTAGCCACAGTTTCAAGTGCTTCTGAGAGTTTTCCATGCTGCGTTTGGCAACATGAATCTTGCGACTCTTGTGTTACGCTGTGCTCTGATGATTGTACTTGTTTGGTCTTCACTTGACTCAAACTATCGAGCTCTGCTTCCAATTCACCGAACCAACTACACTGACAGCCTTACATCTTTGACGAACCAAGAACTCCAAAGAACTGAGAACTCCAAAGTCACCCGGCCAATGGTGCCAACGCCTCCATACAGCTCCTGCAGTCCATGCATTGCTAAAATGCAATCTCATCTCAGGATTCAGGATCTTGCGGAAAAACCGCAATCCACGAGCCCGACTGCACACACATACGCAAACACAAACAACCAAGCCTTGTCTGACACTCTTGCTGTGCTTGATTGACACTCGACAACAACACTCTTGACGGACATTTTGGGGCGACGCTCTTCTAGGACAATCTTAAAGGAAAACTTTGTGCAACACTTTTGTTTGAGACACTTGCGCGACACTCTTGTAGGACGCTCTGGTCGCGCAATCTAGAACTTCTAGGACACGCCAGTGCGACACTTTTGTTTGACACGTTTTTGCGACGCTCTTGTCGGACACTCTTGTCAGACAATCTTGTAGGACACTCTTCTCGCGCAGTCTTATGCGGCACTCAACACTCTTGTAGGACACTTTTGGGCGACATTCTTGTAAGACGCTTTTGCAAGACCTTCTTCTGGTCCACGCGTGTGGGACACTCTCATTAAACACTCCTGTCGGACACTCTTGTAGGACATGTTTGCACGAAACCTGTGCTTGACACTTTTGTAGGACACTCTTGTCGTGCAATCTTACAGAACGCTCTTGTAGGACACTGTTGTGAGACAATGAACACTTTTTGTGTGACACTTTTGCTTGACACTCTTTGGTGACACTCTGAAACCACGCCAATAGCAAACCCAGGTGCAAACACATCGTGACACTGCAGGACATCGACTTGCTGAAAGCACGGAAAAAAGCAACTCAAGCAAGATTTGAAAGAGATCCGCTCTTGTCCACAGTCTTGTATGCCACAGACTATATAGATGCAACAACGCGTAGGGCCCCAAGCCTCGTTGACACTACGTACAAGTCATCGCGCTCACCAACATCATGCCGCATTTTCGCACGGATGCCGCCCTTCAACGGCATGGAGCCACGTAAACATCGTAAACTGTCATAAACACAATTTCCACCGAAGCCGCGCCAAACCACATGGCACAGTGACATCACAGACATAATTTTGCCACACTGCGGTACTCTTGTTGGACTACGGCGCGCTTCAACAAAATCCACACTACTGGTGCATCAAGCCTTCAAATGAGCACATATCAGAATGTAACAAGTCCTGTCTAACACGAGCATTTCGTACGAGACATCCAAATGACACACGTCAAGCCTCCAAAACGAGCGTTTCGTACAAGACTTCCTCCAAAAGTGACACGTCAAGCTTTCAAAGCGGCATTTCGCGCGAGACTTCCTCCGAAAGTAACTTATCACGCCTGCAAAACGAGCATTCGCACGAGACTTTCTAAATTAAATGAGCGTTTCGTCTCATTAAATGAGCGTTTCGTCCCACTTTCTCTTGAAAGCTTTAACATGATTCTCCCTCAAAATTCTACAGGCGAATTCCGGATGGACTCTCACAAAAAAAAATGAGAGTTTCAAAGCCATGTAAGAAGACTTCTCGCTATAAGAGCATGTCCTACGATATGGTCTTGGGAGAATGTGACTGGGCCCCGGTGAGAACAAATTGAATTCATAATTATTTGTTTTAACGATTCTATATAGCACCGGAACGCCCGCCAGAGGCAAGGTCGTGGTCGGAGTGGTGAGCAAAGGCAACCGGGAAAGAGTGATTGCACAGTAGTGCTACCAATCAATTGCTCAGTATAAGAATAGTCCATTCATTCGGACGGCTGCGGACGGTTGCTGAAAATGAAAGCGATGTCACGCGACGCGCTTCCAACTCCAGACTTCCAGAGATAAACGAGAACACTTCGCTACGCATTCGGGGAAAAAGCGTCAGGATTCCTAGTTGGGCATGCCTCATGTGCACAACTGCTGCATGTTGTTGCATAACATCCGTGTGACCTGAGACTGCGGAGTCAGACAGCGCCGATAAAATTCAAGAAGTCTTTAGACAAATGATGCAAGCTATTGTTTCTTGCCGACTTTGAGGACTATGATTGTCCATTATGTTCTAAAGCAGCATGAGACCAAGGTGAATCACACAGTATGCCGCAGTATGCCAGTAAATATCACGGATTAGTCCAGCGATCCCAAAAAACGCTCTTGACACCTCTGCCCTCTGCCTAACCACCGATGGACTCGCCCCAGTTGACCCCCTCCTCCCCCCCTTCGCTCCACTACCACACTCTGCGCAGGCACGAAGTGCCGTGCCAAGCTCACAATATCTTCGAAGGCGCAAAGATTCGCTTGGCCTTGGGGAAAAGGTGCGCCCATTTCGATTCCACCATAACAGGTTTAAAGAAAAAAAGAACTAGAACAAAAGCTACGCAGGTTTGTCACAGATCTTTAGCACGTGCTCAAATCATGACTCAGAAAGAGCATCTGAAAAAAGCTCCTCCAAGCGCACAAAACACCACGGTCTCTTTCTTTCGTTCATATCCTCGAGATCCCCTTCGGTCGGACCTTCCGTCCGAGGCGCGGAAGACGAAGGGCGGAAAGCAGAGTTCCACTGCTTCGCCCTCCACGCTGTGAAGCGCCTCCCGCAGGAAACGCTTGGGGCCGTGCACCTGCAACCAGGCCTGGAGTGGCCCGGAATCCATCAAAGGGGCGACCTCGGGGACCCAATTCTCTCCGATCTCTTGGGAACACCAAGACCTGCGTGGAGTGTGGATTGGGATGGTCGTTGAAGTGATTGAAGACCAAGAGGTCTCGAGTCAGGGCTCCCTTCGAAACAGCGGACAAGCAAAAGCCATCACTCAAGTACTCAAGAATGTAACACCAGGTCAAAATGAGCATTTGCCCTTCGTTTGGCTAGAGAGCCCACAGGATGGTCCTACGATGAATGGCCATGGGTCATGAAGAAGGCCAGACCATGGACCTCTTGACACCCCGGAGTCTTGTCTCCTTTGATAGCCGAAACTGTGAAACAATAGCAGCAGCCACTACAGGACATGTCAAGACCAGCTTGCCAGGACTACCTTCACGACTCATCTGGGCTGATATCAATTCCCATTGTGGGCGAAGCTTTGATTAGCGAACACCTGCAACTAAACTTGCCAGTTTGAGTCACCTGACACCCTTTCAGGGCCTCTTTTTCGTAGGCCAGAATGCGGGAGGTGTGCTTGTCGGCCGCATTGAAGTTCAACCAGATGGAGTGCCACCTATCCAACGCGAAACAAGTGGATGTGATGTACATCACATGCATCCCTGAGTCCCTGGCCCTCGCTGCCCTTGCTGGTCTACATGCATGCAAACTGTGGATGACATGTACAGTATGCAAACTAACTCTCTCTCTCTCTCTCTCCCTGTCTCAGAGCTTGTTTGCCATTTTCCCTCGTGGTTGACCAAAACATGCTAATGATCACCCTTGATCATCACACGCTCGGGTCGGTCCATCAAACGGTTCATCCGTTGCCGCGGTTTCACCCTCAATTGGGAGCTTTTTTACTGGGTCGGCCCCTAGCTGTTGATATCTGTTGATATCTGTTGATGCTGTTGCGCATGCTTTAAATCTGCAAGGCAGCCGTTGAGCAAGTTATGCATCCATAGACTTTGTCAACTTTGTCAGGCCTGCCATCATTAGTCGGTCTAGGATTGCCCACGCATGCTAGAAATCTCCGCAAATAGTCCGTTCCCGAACAGTCAGATCATGCGAAGGAACCAGGAACCTTCCAGGTCTTCAGCCGTCTTGCCAAGGCACAACTCATGTCGCTTCAGCTTTTTCAGTAACCAGGACAGGCTGGAGCCCGCCTGCAGGGCTTTCGAACGTGAAGTTTCCTGACTAGCAAGACTGCAGAGTCGGTCATGCAGGACAGGCTGTTTGTGGGTCATGCGGACTAGGCCCTATGGCCCTGCATCCCAATGATCAGGCTTTTTGGGTCCAGATCTTGTTGCACAGAACTTCCACCAGATTGTATGCGTGTGCTGCGTACAAGATTCCACCAAAGTTGATCTGGTTCGCCAAAACCCAACACTCATCGCCACTGCTGGCAGTTCTAAGATGTTCTAAGTGTATAAACCAATGCATGACCAAAAGATGAGAACTCTACTATGTCCATACCCAAAAATAACGGTTACAGTATCGAAAAAGTACAATACATATATTTATATGGTTTACATAACAGAAATATATATATATATATGTTTATTTGTCTATTTAATATATATATATATGTGTGTGTGTGTCTTTCGGCCTCCTCCTGCGAGGAGGCATTCCACACCAGCGTCACCTGAACCAGTTCGGTGCTTCGCTCCACGTCCAGCTTCACATAGCGAAGGTCCCCTGATGGAGAAGAGCAATGTGTTTTCTTTTTTTTAGGGGGGGTAGGAAGTAGCTAGGAGGTAGGAAGTAGCCAGGTAGATAGCTAGCTAGTAATTAGCCTAAGTAGCTACTACTTAGGACGCAGGATAGCTAATGATTTGGTTCTTAGATTGTTAGGGAAACTTAACTTAGGGGCAAACCGTGGGATTGGACTAAAATCCGCAAAAATAACACCAACACACCTTGGAACAAAGTCTTCTCCCGTGGTTGAAATGTGTTGCCGGATGCGAATGAATCGACAGTGAGTTGTTTCTCGGTTTGAAGATGTTTGAAGCAAAAAGAAGGAACAGTTTTCAGTGCAGAAAAAAGGGGTGCTTGGCATCCTTTTTTGATTTGAAGAATCTTTGCCAGCGCGACAAAACTCCCACAAAGAGGCATAGAGAGGCCAAAGGGTGCCACAGGCCTGTGCCGTCAAGTTCGTCGTAGCCTTTGATCTTTCCAGAGGCGCCAATCACTGTGATGGCCTGAACCGACATGGTCATATGGTGTATCAAAAGGCCATCAAGCACGGCCAAGGACAAGAGGTGGCCGTTGACCCAACCATCAAATTGGACGATGTCAAAGAATGTTTAAAAGTTAAAACATGTTGACTGGCCATTCTGCCTGTGAGTCAAGCCTGTGAGCAGCTTCAAGGGCGCTCAGGAAACCACGGAAACCACCTCCGCATCTTCATTTGGCCATGCGGTACTTGTACAGAAGTCTCTGCCAGGCGGCAGGTGTCTGTGATCGGCCAGGTGGAGCTAACGGAGGCACGAAAGTTACATAAGCCTAACTGGGAAAAGAAGTAAGAACAGGTGGAGAAAGAACAGCAAGGGAAGAGAATCAGAAAGAAATGTAACATTTCTTGCGCAGGAAGAAGCTTCAGCAGCATTCGCACTGGACTTGCTGTTTGGTCCGCAAGAAAGAAAGAAAGAGACAGAAAAATACAGAAAGAGAGAGAGAGAGAGAGACAAAAAAGAGAGAGACAGAGACAGAGACAAAGACAGTGACAGTGACAGAGAGTGAGTGTGTAGTGCCTTCAGGTATCCAACTACTAACTTGGAACTTGGTGAGCTCAAAGCAATGAATCGCAAACGCCCGGCGTATCAGGCCCTCACTGGACGGTCGGGCCTCCAAGGCTTGGTTGATCGCAGGATGATGAGCAGAGCAGCCCAAGACCGAGATGATCTCATGTGACTTGGGGAGGAAAAGCCCAATCTTCAAGCCATCAGCTCCTCCAGGAACTGTGGGAATCATTCAGATCAACACATCAAAACCACCCCTTACATGCTGAGTAAAAAAGGGCATGCACTCCCAACTTTCTTGATGCGCAGTTGACGTTTCTCTTTCCCGGCTAAATTGCCTTTTTCATGTGAGAAACTCGTCGGGTCCTCTGCGTACAGCGAGCTTCGCTGAGGAGCGCCAGCCTGGAGGGGTTGCGATGGGAAGCTCCTTCGTCAAAGTGGTTGGCTGTGCCTCGCATCCTTGAGAGGCCATCATACTTACCAAGCATGGGAGGAAGATGAAAGAAACGCAGCTCGCAGCCCACCATACCCACCCAGAATCACTTGCGGCCTAACAATCTAAGCAACAATTCTGCCCAATTCCAGAATCCTTCACAATGCTCCCCACCCCCTTGCGCACGCAACCACTCCACTCCACTAGAATTCCCACCTTATCCACCAGCCTAGGTTTCAAGAAAAACTGCAGCGGAATGTACTATTACTAAAGCGGCCTAATCGCAGGCCGTCGCCTTCTTTGGCCTTGAGCTGTAGGGGCAGCCGCTGCCCCAACTCTTTGAAGAAGTGCTTAGCTTGGAGCACAGTCGGTGCGCTGAGGGGATCGTCAATGTAGACCTCAGCAAGCTCGGCAAGCTGGAGAATCCATGACCCTACCAAGCCTGACACCCAGAGAGCCAATCTGTTGCCGCCGATGGAAAAGAACTCGAGAAAAGGCAAAACACGGAGTGTTTCACAGTCATGTGGGGTACTAACGTGGATTTGGGGCCTTTGACTGAAGAACTGGCTGCTTCGGGTCTCGAGAACGGTCCGCTCAAAATCCACTGGGCACATGAACACATGGGCACGGTCACCGTCCACAGGCACACGGACACACGATACTCATAATGACGCTGGTTACGCTGTTGCCGAAGAAGAAGAAGAAGAAGAAGAAGAAAAGGATGATGATGGTAATGATGATGAACATCATGATGATGATGATGATGATGATGATGATGGTGGTGGTCCTGATAGTGGTGATGATGTTGATGCCAAGGTTCATGAGGATGTTGGCAGTGATGACGATGGTGATGATTTGATACACATAATCCTGGCGATGTTGACATTATTACTCCTTGTAATGTTGATGATGATAATATATTGAAGGTGACGGTGATGATGGTGATGAGATGGAGGAGCTCACAGTCCAAACTTCCCAGAAGTTCCCTTTCTCAACGAACGCAGAACACAGTCGCAGTTCCTGGTGACAACCTGGCCTCCACAAGACAACTCCAAAATGACTTTCAAGAAAGCGTACTATTTCGGAGCTATTGAACACAACATTGAGGCACAGGGCACACAAAACAAGTCGGTTCTTGTATTGCTTTCATTACTCGAAATCAGAGTTTGCTAAAGGCATTCATGTGCTACAGCCACGGCTCCAAAGGTGATTTCTGTTGTGAAAATTAGCCCAGCTGGAGACCCCAATAGCAAGATACAAACCGGGACAAAAAGAAAAATCTGGAAACAGCCATAACCGGGACACCATCACAAAATGACCAGGGCACCATCAAAACATGACCGAGACACCGTCACAACATGATTGGGACACCATCACAACATAACCGGGACACCATCACAAGGTGACCGGGACACCAGCATGACATGACGGGGACACCATCACAACATGACCGGGACACTATCACAACAT